CTCTGGCTCTTTGGTCCCGCCTCTCAACCGTCTATCAACAGGTGTACAGGTTCCTGAGCCTATTAGGCTCTATCATATCTACACTTGAAACTGTGTATGGAGTCAGCCTCCACCACATTACTTCCTAATGCATTCCATTTGCCAACCACTCTGACACTAAAAAAGTTCTTTCTAATATTTCTGTGGTTCATTTGGGCACTCAGTTTCTACCTGTGTCCCCTAGTGCGTGTGCCCCTTATGTTAAATAACCTGTCTTTATCTACCCTGTCGATTCCCTTGAGAATCTTGAATGTGGTGATCATGTCCCCCCCCTAACTCTTCTCACTTCCAGCGAAGTGAGGTTTAATTCCCGTAGTCTCTCCTCGAAGCTCATACCTCTCAACTCGGGTACTAGTATGGTGGCAAACCTTTGAACCTTTTCCAGTTTAGTCTTATGCTTGACTAGATATGGACTCCATGCTAGAGCCGCATACTCCAGGATTGGTCTGACGTATGTGGTATATAATGTTCTGAAAGATTCCTTACACAAGTTTCTAAAGGCCGTTCTTATGTTAGCCAACCTGGCATATGCCGCTGATGTTATCCTCTTGATATGAGGTTCCGAGGCCAGGTCTGGCGTGATATCAACCCCCAGGTCTTTCTCTCTCTCTGACTCCTGAAGTATTTCATCTCTTAAATGATACCTTGTATCTGGTCTCCTGCTTCCTACCCCTATCTTCATTACATTACATTTGCTTGGGTTAAACTCTAACAACCATTTGTTCGACCATTCCTCTAGCTTGTCCAGGTCTTCTTGAAGCCTCAAGGTGTCCTCTTCTGTCTTAATCCTTCAAATAATTTTGGCGTCGTCAGCAAACATTGAGAGGAATGAGTCTATACCCTCTGGGAGATCATTTACGTATATCAGAAACAGGATAGGTCCGAGTACAGAGCCCTGTGGAACTCCACTGTTGACTTCACGCCAAACTGAGGTCTCACCCCTCACTGTAACTCTCTGCTTCCCATTGCTTAGGTATTCCCTCATCCACTGGAGCGCCCTACCAGTTACTCCTGCCTGTTTCTCCAGCTTATGCATCAGCCTTTTATGGGGTACTGTGTCAAAGGCTTTCTGACAGTCCAAAAAAATGCAGTCCGCCCATCCTTTTCTTTCTTGCTTAATCTTTGTCACCTGATCGCAGAATTCTATTAACCCTGTCAGGTAAGATTTACCCTCCCTGAATCCATGTTGATGGGTTGTCACGAAGTCTCTTCTCTCCAGATGTGTTACTAGGTTTTTTCTCACAATCTTCTCCATCACCTTGCATTGTATACAAATCAAGGACACTGGCCTGAAGTTCAGTGCCTCTTGTCTGTCACCCTTTATGTATATTGGGACTACATTAGCTGTCTTCCATATTTCTGGTAGGTCACCCGTTTCCAGTGACCTACTATACACTATGGAGAGTGGCAAACAAAGCGCTCCTGCACACTCTTTCAATACCCATGGTGAGATTCCGTCCGGCCTAACAGCTTTTCTCACGTCCATCTCCAATAGGTGCTTCTTGACCTCACCTCTTGTAATTTCGAACCTTTCCAAGGTCGCCTGGTTTGCTGCCACCTCTCCTAGCGTCGTGACCTCACCTTGTTCTATTGTGATGACTTCCTGGAACCTCTTGTTGAGTTCTTCACACACCTCTTTGTCATTCTCTGTGTACCTGTCCTCACCCATCCTAAGTTTCATCACCTGTTCCTTCACTGTTATCTTCCTCCTGATGTGACTGTGTAATAGTTTTGGTTCGGTCTTGGCTTTGTTAGCTATATCATTTTCATACCTTTTCTCAGCTGCTCTTCTCACACTAACATACTCGTTATTGGTTCTCTGATATCACTCTCTACTTTCAAGTGTTCTGTTATTACGGAAGTTCCTCCATGCTTTTTTGTTCAGCTCCTTTGCTTTCATACATTCCCTAGTAAACCATCGATTCTTCTTTTGCTTCTCTGTTTTTTTCTGTCGGGCCGGGACAAACCTGCTTACAGCCTTCTGATACTTTTGGGTGACATAGTCCATCATGTCTTGTACGGACTTGGTTCTGAGTTCTGTGTCCCATTGTATATCCCTAAGGAATTTTTTCATCTCCTCATAGTTTCCTTTTCGGTACGCCAGCCCTTTGTTTCCCAGTTCTTTTTTGTGGGAGATAATTCCTAGCTCAACCAAGTAGTCAAAGCACAATACACTATGATCATTCATTCCCAGAGGGGTTTCCAACTTAATTTCTTTTATATACGACTCATTTAGGGTAAATATCAGATCAAGCAAGGCTGGTTCGTCCACTCCTCTCATTCTTGTCGGTCCCTTGACGTGTTGACTTTGAAAGTTTCTTGTTGCCACGTCCAACAGCTTAGCTCTCCGTGTGTCTTGTCCTCCATGTGGGTCTCTGTTCACCCAATCTGTCTTCCCGTGGTTGAAATCTCCCATGATTAGTAGTCTGGATCCGTTCCTGTAAGCCACAGAAGCTGCTCTCTCTATTTTATTAATGGTGGCCATGTTGTTTCTATCATATTCCTGTCTGGGTCTTCTGTTGTTCGGTGGGGGGTTATATATGACTACTACTATAATTTTCTGTCCTCCAGTTGCTATGGTGCCTGATATGTAGTCACTGAAACCCTCACAGCCCTGAATAACCATCTCCTCAAAATCCCAGCCATTTCTTACCAGCAGAGCTACACCACCACCACCTCTTATTGTGTTGGTATGTTGCTTGTGTGTGTGTGTGTGTGTGTACTCACCTATTTGTACTCACCTATTTGTGCTTGCAGGATCGAGCATTGACTCTTGGATCCCGCCTTTCCAGCAATCGGTTGTTTACAACAATGATTCCTGTCCCATTTCCCTATCATACCTAGTTTTAAAAGTATGAATAGTATTTGCTTCCTTAACCTGTTCCCCAAGTGCATTCCATTTTTCCACTACTCTCACGCTAAAAGAAAACTCCCTAACATCTCTGTGACTCATCTGAGTTTCCAGTTTCCACCCATGTCCCCTCGTTCTGTTATTATTACGTGTGAACATCTCATCTGTTTCCACTTTGTCAATTCCTCTGAGTATTTTATATGTCCCTATCATATCTCCTCTCTCCCTTCTTTTCTCTAGTGTCGTAAGGTTCAGTTCCTGCAGACGCTCTTCATATCCCATCCCTCGTAACTCTGGGACAAGCCTCGTGACCTTCTCCAGTTTCTTTATGTGTTTCTTCAGGTGGGGGCTCCATGATGGCGCGGCATACTCTAAGACGGGTCTCACGTAGGCAGTGTAAAGCGCCCTAAAAGCCTCCTCATTTAGGTTTCTGAATGAAGTTCTAATTTTCGCCAGTGTAGAGTACGCTGCTGTCGTTATCCTATTTATATGTGCCTCAGGAGTTAGATTAGGTGTCACATCCACTCCCAGGTCTCTCTCGAATCGTTACAGGTAGGCTGTTCCCCTTCATTGTGTACTGTCCCTTTGGTCTCCTATCACCTGATCCCATTTCCATAACTTTACATTTACTGGTGTTAAACTCCAGTAGCCATTTCTCTGACCATCTCTGCAGCCTGTTTAAGTCCTCTTGGAGGACCCTACAATCCTCGTCTGTCACAACTCTTCTCATTAATTTTGCGCACACGTCATCCGCATGTGTGTGTGTGTGTGTGTGTGTGTGTGTGTGTGTGTGTGTGTGTGTGTGTGTGTGTGTGTGTGTGTGTGTGTGTGTGTGTGTGTGTGTGTGTGTGTGTGTGTGTGCGTGCGTGTGTGTGTGTGTGTGTGTGTGTGTGTGTGTGTGTGTGTGTGTGTGTACTCACCTAGTTGTGTTTGCGGGGGTTGAGCTCTGGCTCTTTGGTCCCGCCTCTCAACCGTCAATCAACAGGTGTACAGATTCATGAGCCTATCGGGCTCTGTCATATCTACACTTGAAACTGTGTATGGAGTCAGCCTCCACCACATCACTTCCTAATGCATTCCATTTGTCAACCACTCTGACACTAAAAAAGTTCTTTCTAATATCTCTGTGGCTCATTTGGGCACTCAGTTTCCACCTGTGTCCCCTTGTGCGTGTTCCCCTTGTGTTAAATAGACTGTCTTTATCTACCCTATCAATCCCCTTCAGAATCTTGAATGTGGTGATCATGTCCCCCCTAACTCTTCTGTCTTCCAGCGAAGTGAGGTTTAATTCCCGTAGTCTCTCCTCGTAGCTCATACCTCTCAGCTCGGGTACTAGTCTGGTGGCAAACCTTTGAACCTTTTCCAGTTTAGTCTTATCCTTGACTAGATATGGACTCCATGCTGGGGCTGCATACTCCAGGATTTGCCTGACATATGTGGTATACAAAGTTCTGAATGATTCTTTACACAAGTTTCTGAATGCCGTTCGTATGTTGGCCAGCCTGGCATATGCCGCATATGTGTGTGTGTGTGTGTGTGTGTGTGTGTGTGTGTGTGTGTGTGTGTGTGTGTGTGTGTGTGTGTGTGTGTGTGTGTGTGTGTGTGTGTGTGTGTGTGTGTGTGTGTGTGTGTGTATGCGTGCGTGCGTGCGTGCGTGCGTGCGTGCCTGCGTGCGTGCGTGTGTCCATGCCAGGCGAGTGTATAAATAAAGCAACAACGGGTGGCTGCCTCACTCCCCCAAAGATCACCGAGAGGTCGCCATGGCAACATTCTCAGCCATCCTGCTGTCGGTGCTGGCACTGGTGACGGCTGCCCAAGAGATTCAGACACTTCAAGATCTATCCAACACGCTGCTCCTCAACCAGCTGGCAATGTCCAACATGCTGGCTGAACGCGACTCCAGAACAAGAGGTAAGGAGACCACTGGAGCAGCTTCACAGTCACGTAGGAGCTGTTGAAGTTTACTGTGGTGGAAATTGTTATCCAGTTGGATGATAGTGCTGGTGTTGGAGTGTGGTGTGGCAGTAAGTGTAGTTGAGTTAGATGATACAGCTGGTGGTGAAGTGAAGTTCACTGATTATATATCTTTAAATTAAATTATTCTTTTCTAGTCAGTACCTTAGTCAGTTACTTGCTTATTTAATTACAATTTCCTTCTCAATACTCGTAATAATTTGTCAACATTATAACCTAAGCTGATCACAAAGTTATCTTTAAGATAAAAGACACCGAACGTTTAGGATATAACATACAATGAAGGTTCAGGAGATCACAGATATTGCAGGTTTAGGAGACAACAGAAGGATATAAGACAGAAGCGACCAAGACTACATAAACTGCTGTTAACTCTCTTCATTACCGACCATGGTATTGTAATGTGGTTTTCGTCGTTTATATTTCAGTAATAAGAGAGTGGCTGAACGACCTGCAATCAAACATTACCTCCGGTGAGTGGCTCTTATGTTTGTATACATTGTCTTGTTCCTAATATGTTCATGTCAACTAACCACAAGAGAGTATGGTGCAACCTGGCTCATTACTAGTACACTTTGCAAGTGTGTTGTGGCAGAAGCACTCTGAGGAGCCAGACATTACTAAAGGACTGCTTAACTGTGTATTGGCATTACATTTGATATGTATATATTATACTGAGTACGGTCTTTCTCAGTTTAGAGTTCATTCTCATAACAGAAATTCCTCTTTTGGGAGTCAAGCGCCTCGACCCGTTTGAGGATCACTGCTCTGGAGGATCATTGAAACTTTTACATTCTGATTTATTAACAAATTCTAGATGAATATTTTATTGTTTAATAAAGTGATTTTAAACGACTCTTCTTGACTGATGAATGTCAATGTTATAAATATTTGGTTTTCAAGAACTTAATCAGAAATTAATCACATAATATGTTTTCCCTTTCCAGAAATAGCGGCTTTGCAGAACGTTGTTAAAGCTAATGGTGTTCCCCAAGATGCTGGTAAAGGTAATATTGTTCCCCATGGTGATAGTGAAGGTTATGGTGTTTCCTAATATGATGGTGAGGTTTATGATGTTCTCCAAGATGATAGTGATGGTTATGGTGTTCTCCAAAATGAAGGTGAGGGTCATGGTGTTCCCAAGATGATGGTGAGGATTATGGTGTTCCCAAGATGATGGTGAGGGTAATAATGTTCCCAAGATGATGGTGAGGGTAATAGTGTTCCCTAAATAGAGACAAAGAAGTTATAAAAGAGCATCACTAACAACAGCATTATCCAAAACCGTCACGACGGAGATAAAAACTGCATCATCATTGCAACCTCCAATGGCCGCAGGAGGCTGCACATACCTAAGGCCATCCATATTAAAGGTCTCTCACTAGTGATGAGTTAGAAATGAATTTGGCATCATAATATTTACTTGTTTTGATGGTCCTTTTTAGTATTAAGAGAAGGTACATGTCTTTTTCGAATACTGTTCCCTGTTCACCTGACCTTGTAGTTCCCTTGTTCACCTGACCTTGTAGTTCCCTTGGTCACCTGACCTTGTAGTTCCCTTGGTCACCTGACCTTGTAGTTCCCTTGTTCACCTGACCTTGTAGTTCCCTTGGTCACCTGACCTTGTAGTTCCCTTGGTCACCTGACCTTGTAGTTCCCTTGTTCACCTGACCTTGTAGTTCCCTTGGTCACCTGACCTTGTAGTTCCCTTGTTCACCTGACCTTGTAGTTCCCTTGGTCACCTGACCTTGTAGTTCCCTTGGTCACCTGACCTTGTAGTTCCCTTGGTCACCTGACCTTGTAGTTCCCTTGGTCACCTGACCTTGTAGTTCCCTTGGTCACCTGACCTTGTAGTTCATAGGTCTCATTAGCTAAGAGCTTACCTCACCCGAGCACAAGCTTCACATGACCTTGTTGACAAACTACATTGTACTAAAAATTTTAAGTAATGTTTCATTGAATATAAAAGCCTCGACATAAGAGTTGCCTAATATATTCATCTGCATGAGTCTTGTGCTCTGTCGTCCACAGGGGTCGTGGAGTGCATGACACCGTTTGTGGACGTGTATGGTCACTGTATCTTGGTGGAGACGGCACTGACGGGATCTTGGGAAACAATGAGACGTCACTGTCAGCAGAAGGGCGGCGAGATTGTCAAGGTTGACTGTGGCACCTTCATGTATTACCTCGTCAGGTACCTTCACAGTAACGGTGAGTTATTCAGCTCAAGACCTATGTCGTTCCTGAAAACCTGAATTATATCATAATTTCTTTCTGATAATATTCACCTGTTCTTCAATATGTCCGCAGGTCTGGTTAAGTTGTCTTACTGGGTCGGTGGGAGAGATGAAGGCCACGAGGGATCTTTCTTCTGGACTGATGGTACCCAGGTCAAGATGGGAACCCCCTTTTGGGGTGACGGCATTACTGACAATATTCAGGAGCCCGACGGAGGAACCGATCAAAACTGCATGTTAATGTACAAGGAAGATCATTATTTTTTCTTCGATACTTCTTGCAATAACAATTATGCAGTTATTTGTGAGAAACTAAAATTGTCCTAGGGACAATACCTGGCTTCTGTCCTTAAAGTATCAGGTGCTTTATGTCCTTGGAGTAACACCTTCCTCATGACCTTGGAGTAACACTTGCCTCCTGACCTTGGAGTAGCACCTGCTCCCTGTCCTAGCACTAACACCTGACTTGCGTCTCTCGAGGAGCACCTCCGAGTCCTGACAGGTCATCACTAGGACCAAGTGTGTACCTGGGGCATTTAGCTAATACAATATGTAATAAGTGGTGAGCTCTTTGATTCATATGATAAATTATAATATACATGAATAATGAGAAAATAATTTGAGGTTCCTGCAACTTGAACTGCACATGAGCACTCCCCCAAGCTGTACAACACATGAGCACTCCTCCAAACTGTTCTGCACATGAGCACTCCTCCAAGCTGTACAACACATGAGCACTCCTCCAATAACACATGAGCTCTCCTCCAAGCTGTACAACACATGAGCACTCCTCCAATAACACATGAACTCTCCTCCAAGCTGTACTGCTCATGAGCACTCCAAATGTACAGCACATGAGCATTCCTCCTAGCTGTACTGCTCATGATCACTTCTTGAAGCTATATCATTAAATAATCCAATTTCCCTTAACCTTACCCATAACTAGGGGCTCTATCTCCCCTTTCCTCTTATCTCGAAAATAAGGGTAAATTATGGATAATTAAGGTGAAAATATATTTTCACATATTATTCAAATATATCCTAATTTATCCCTAATGAACCCTAATTTATGTAATATTATCTTAATTTATGTAATATTATCTTAATTTATGTAATATTATCTTAATTTATCTCATATAATCTATATTTAGGTCATATTATCTTAATTTATGTCCTATTAGCTTAATTTATGTCATATCTTAATTTATCCATATCTGACCCTTATTTATGTCATATTATCTAAATTTATCCCTAATTTACCCTTATTTATGCAGCCCATCCTCCAAAAATGGGGTCATTATGACATATTACCCTAATTTTTAATAATTTAGAAAATGTAGAGGGGTCTTATCTTCAATATATAGAATAATTTCCAGGTAAAGGGGGAGGGGGTTAATAATGCCCTTAATTATAGGTTAGGTTAAGGAAAATTTGATTATTTAATGATATAGATATAGTGACTCTTATCGCTTTCCTTAGAATATGTGTAAAATGGAGTTCAGATCCAGGTATAAAGTTAGGTACAGGCTGGTTAATTTAAGCTAATGAAGAGAAAATGCCCAATAATAACACATTTCCATTAACCCGGGTAATTGAGGTTAGAAAGGCTGGCTTGCTTGTAATGATGTAAAAACAAACATGGCTAAGAATAAGAGGCAACTTTGGACCAAGATCCTGGTATCAGAGGCTAAGTCCAGGGCGGTTGGGTTGATGAAAAAAAAACAAAAAAAACTTTCCAAACGTACGATACATTTGACGTTAGGTCAAGGCAGGTTAGGTTCAGGGTTGTTGAGTCCACATCCGAAACAAAACATTGCTAGAAATATTGAACAAAGATCCTAACTAGGTAGCTGAATTGATGTGTAAAACAAACACTTTTCTAGCAATATACTTGCAATATTGAGCATATAAACAGGCAGGTTAGGCACAGGGCAGTTAGGTGCATATTCAAAACAACACTTTTCTAAGAATATAGATACAATATTCAACAAAGATCCAAGCAGGTTAGGTACAAGTCATTTAAGTTTATATCCAAAATCAATCCTTTCAAAACAATGAAGTTGCAATATTCAGCAAAGATCCATGCAGGTTGGGCACATGTCTGTTAGGGTTTTAACCCAAATTAACACTTTCACAAGAATATGTCATATTAAAGGTTAGGCCCTAGGTGGTTATGTTGTGGTAATATGAGGAAAGTTGTGGTAATATGAGGAAAAATGCCTTGTAACTACAAGGCAATATTACACACTAGTGTAGTATTGAGTGTAAATGTGTTTTATACTGAGTGTTTTGATTTCTTGTATTTTTAGTGTATGTATAAGTGCAACATTGTGTGTGTATAGTGATTAATTGATGTGATATAGTGATTAATTGCTGTTTGTTATTATGACTTTTATCTCATATTACTATTAAGCAGATTTTTTTATTTCAATGCGTCATAAACACCCTGGTTCAACCATATGAACAGTATGACGGTTGATATATAGTCATGTAATTACGATATTTGGTGTGTTTGAATAAATAAGATAAGTTCACAATATTTTTGGACTTGCGTGAGTATTATGGTTACCTTGCTGATTGTCATGCATCGATATGAATTAACAGTACAAAAGGTTAAGATCACTTGGGGTGAATTAGCTGTTGGGATACTGAAATCTTGTTCTTTTTTGTTGACCAGACCACACACTAGAAGTTGAAGGAACAACGACGTTTCGGTCCGTCCTGGACCATTCTCAAGTCGATTGTGATGAGGAGGTAGAGATAGGCAATAAATAGGCAAGAGAGAGCTGAGGAGGAAAGTAAGGTGTAGGGGATAGTAGTAATAATGAGAACTGCAGAAGGCATATTGGCCAATACGAGGCAGTTCCAATTATAATCTTTCATTTCTTTACGGGGCTCCGTCATCTATCCTCTTGCCTCCTGGCTCGCTAAAACCCTGACACCTTACCTTGGCACTTTTTCCCCTGCCCACCTTCGTCACTCTCAGGACTTCATAGAAAGACTGCGCCTGCAGCCCTTTTGTAAGATGCTTAGTCTTGATGTCGACTCTCTGTTCACTAATGTTCCGCTCGATGACGTTCTCTCTTTCCTTAGACAGAAGGCGTCAGAGGGCCTTCTTCCTCTCCCGCTTCCCACTGACGTTTTCCTCGATCTCATTAGACTCTGTGTTGACTCTAACTCTTTCTCTTTCAACGGTAAATATTACACTCAAACTTTCGGTGTCGCTATGGGTTCCCCTCTCTCCCCTGTTCTTGCTAATTTCTACATTGAATACTTCGAAACTGTTCTTCTTCCTTCTATTGATACTCATCCCTCTCTCTGGCTTCGCTATGTTGATGACATTTTTGCTTTATGGCCTCATGACCTTAATCTTTTCCAGCCTTTCCTCGCCTCTCTTAACAATCTGGCTCCTTCTATCCATTTCAAAGTTGAGTGGGAATCTAATTCCCTCCTTCCTTTTCTTGATGTTCATGTTCACAGCTCTGTGTCTGGGTTCTCTTTCTCTGTCTACCGTAAACCTATGCATAGTGGCATGTACATTCACTTCTTTTCCTACCATCCTCCTTCTGTTAAGAAAAGTGTCCTTGTCTCTCTCTTCCTCCGCGCTCTACGCATCAACGACCCTCAGTTTCTTGATTCTGAAATTGCCTTTATCTACAAATCATTCTCTCGCCTTGGTTATCCTTTGCATTTCATCAACTGTGCATATTTTCAAGCTAAACGAAATTTCTTTCATCCTAAACCTGCTTCCAACACTAGTAGCACTGTACTATGCCTTCCCTTCATATCTGAACTCAAAACTTTTACCAATACCTTTCGTCCTCTTGACATTAAACTCGCCTTTCGACAAACTAACACACTTCGTAACAATCTAGTTCACACTGCTCCTCCTGCTTCTAATGCTGCTGGTGTCTACTGCATTTCTTGTTCATCTTGTCCTCTCCAATACTTTGGCGAAACTGGCTGTACACTGAATGACAGACTTAAAGAACACAAGAGAAGTGTTAAGTCTGCAGACACTAACAATGCTCTCTTCTGCCATGTGAGGGATTCTAATCATCCCATTGATTGGTCTTCCTCCAAAATAATCTTTCCTGCCTCTACTCTACACAGACGCCGTCTTGTAGAATCGGCTCTTATACACAATGTACCCAACATGAACTTGAGTCCTGGCTTTATTGCTGTGGACTCTTCTCTTTCACAGTATATACTCAAATGCTCTAATCTTTCTAACAAACGTGACTTAACATAAACTTACCCCTTCCATTTATCTTTCTTTCTCTTTTTTTTCTTTCCCTCTTCTCCCTTTTTCTGTTCATTGTCTTCTCCTACACTCCCTTGCTATACTCTTCTTATTCCTATTACTATCTCCTTCGGTGGTTATAATAGGAGCTGCCTAGTATTGGCCAATAGGCCTTCTGCAGTTCTCATTATTACTACTATCCCCTACACCTTACTTTCCTCCTCAGCTCTCTCTTGCCTATTTATTGCCTGTCTCTACCTCCTCATCACAATCGACTTGAGAATGGTCCAGGACGGATCGAAACGTCGTCGTCCCTTCAACTTCTAGTGTGTGGTCTGGTCAACATACTTCAGCCACGTTATTGTGACTCATCGCCTGCATCTCGTTCTTAAGTCACTGCACATCCTCTTATGTATACCCTATATATTTAAGACTCAGAACTGTAATGTCAGTCCTGTCCTTAAGAGTTTCCTAGAAAGTTGTAACAGAACCCAATGGAACCATACCAATAACAAATTCCTATTTGATATTCCAAGAGCGCGCCTTAACCAAACTAGAAATGCCCTACAAATCAAGGGATCCAGAATGTGGAATGACCTCCCCAATCATGTCAAAGGCTGTACCTCTCTCAACCAGTTTAAGAGAAAAACTAAGAACTATTCCTAGCAAACTCCATGTAACCTACCTTACCCCCTAAATGTCAACCTTTGTCTAGCTATTTTCAAACAATACTCTTTGTTGACCAAGTTGTATAATTGCTGATTTCTGCCATGTTCCCCCCCTCCTCCTTATGGGAGCCGGTCGTCCAAGCGGACAGCACGCTGGACTTGTGATCCCGTGGTCCTGGGTTCGATCCCAGGCGCCGGCGAGAAACAATGGGCAGAGTTTCTTTCACCCTATGCCCCTGTTACCTAGCAGTAAAATAGGTACCTGGGTGTTAGTCAGCTGTCACGGGCTGCTTCCTGGGGGTGGAGGCCTGGTCGAGGACCGGGCCGCGGGGACACTAAAAGCCCCGAAATCATCTCAAGATAACCTCCCCCCTTTTTTCCTTTTTTCAACACAATTCATACTTTAATCTCAGTTAGTATTAAACTTTAGTCTAAGGGGTTTTTCTCCCCACACCTTGCCCGAAACGCTGTATTAGTTACTTTAGGTATTATATGTACTAACACTATCAATACATCCAACATTATGTTTATAACTCATCTTCTATGTATGTATTTTTACCTGAATAAACATTTTGATTTTGATTTTGATTTGATTTTAGTATACCCAATAGACATTACTAATGTAACATTGTTTTCTGTTGACGTTCCTACAATCCATTCTCATTTTTTTTAAAGATTTTCAAAGCATACACTATTGAATATAATATTGATTTGGGAACCACCATTATAATATGTAATAACTATTTATTTAAATATTTATTTATTTATTTATATATATATACAAGAAGGTTCATTGGGATATTGAGGATACATAGCATAATGATTACATTCTTGTAAAGCCACTAGTACGCACAGCGTTTCGGGCAGGTCCTTAATCTAACAGAAAATGTTAAGTAGGTAAATACTAGCAAAATTTATAAAATGATAACAAGTACATTGCAAGAAAAAAAATGAGATGAGAGAGATTTGTATGTATATTAAAGCACATAGGTAACTCAGATAGATTGCACTGACAGCTAGAATGGTAATTTAACAAAGATTAATAGGCACAATACAGCGAATTGCTAGCACATATAAGAAGACAGCAATGATCACAATGGTAAAGTTGATTGGATTAAGTACATAAAGATTGGGAGATTGGGTAACACTAAATACAGAGCAAATTTAAAGCACAGAGTAGGAAACAATGAAGATGAAATTAGGTATTTAATTATAATTATTAAGAAGTAATAATAAACTTAATAAGTAATAATAAACTAATAGTGCTTATTATAATTATAAATCCCATACCCATCCTGTGGGCAGTAGTAGTCCCAAAATACTCATCCCGTTGGTGATAGTAGACCCATACCCATCCTGTTGGCGGTATTGGACCCCATACCCATCCTATGGGCGGTATTGGACCTAATACCCATTTTGTGGGCGGTATTGAACCCCATACCCATCCTATGGGCGGTATTGGACCTAATACCCATCTTGTGGGCGGTATTGAACCCCATACCCATCCTATGGGCGGTATTGGACCTAATACCCATCCTGTGGGTGGTATTGGACCCCATACCCATCCTGTAAGTGGTAGTGGACCTCATACCCATCCTGTGGACAGTATTGGACCCCATACCCATCCTGTGGGCGGTATTGGACCTAATACCCGTATTGTGGGCGGTAATGGACCCCATACCCATCCTGTGGGTGGTAGTGGACTCCATGCCCATCCTGTATATGGTAATGGACCCCATACCCATTCTGTGGCGGTAGTGGACCTAATACCAATCCTGCGGGCGGAAGTGAACCCGATACCTATCCTGTGGGTGGTAGTGACCCCATAGCCATCCTGTAGGCTGTAGTGGACCCCCCATACCCATCCTGTGGGCGGTAGTGTACCCCCATGCAAATTCTGTGGGTGGTATAGTGGCCCCATACCCATCCTGTGGGTAGTAGTGGCCCCCCATACCCATTCTGTGAGTGGTTGTCGACCCAATACCCATTCCGTAGGCGGTATTGGACCCCATACTCATTTTGTGGGCAGTAGTGGCGCATATACCCATCCTGTGGATGGACATGACTCACATACCCACCTTGTGGGCGGTAGTGGACCCCATACCCATCCTGTGGATGATAGTGGTCCCCAAAACCATCCTGTAGGCGGTACTTGACCCCATAAGAATATTGTGGGCGGTAATGAGTAGCAGGGATGACTATCCAGCGCCCCTTTTTTATTTTCGGGGAAAGAGGACACTGGATAGTCAGGGGTTCCAGGTAAATTAGGGAAGAGGATGCTGGATCATCAGGGTTTTCAGGTGAATTTGGGCCGTCACTGATGTGGAATTAAGGATTTCTTATGAGAAAAATAATTTCTGATATTTTAGAAGTTTGTTAAAAGTTTTTATGATGACGCTAAGATGCTAAGCCCCGGAAGCACCTGAAGGTAACCTCAAGGTATGACAATAATGTCATAGAAGTTTGTTAATAGTTCTTATGGGAGAAATTTCAGAGTTCATACCAAGAATAAACAGATATTTAGGCCTTATACATTTAAGTAGGATTCTTACATAGAAACTAGTATATGTCTATGTAACTGAATCATTACCCTGCCATCCCCCTCCCCCTTCCCTCCCAACCCCCTGCATCTCCTGCTCCTACCTCACACCCCCTTCCCTCCCTACCCCTGCATCACCTGTGTTTACTTTACACCGCCAGCCAGACACCCTGGGTCAAGTCACCTCCGTAATCTTATCTTATCTTATCATTGTGTCTTCATAA